ATATATATATATATATATTGTATTCATTGTATATATTGTACATATTGTACAAATAAATACTGGAATGAAAAGAGCAGAATAATGAGACAAGCAGTCCCAAAAATCAACATTCAAGAAGGAAATTGGTTACCTTGCCCAACGCCTAAACTAGCGTAAACTCCCAATCTCATATTTGTATCATCGTTTTCTGATGAAGCATTACGATATTTCGCATGATCTGACCAATCGGCTAACCAAAGGTTTGATATAACACCCAAAACTGATGAAAGAATGTAGATTATGACGAACAGACAGGTTATGAGGTAACCAATGGCCTTGATGTATGCTACGTAAACAGACCACTTCACCTAGAAAGCTGAACGTTAAGTACGTTTGCTAATTTAGAATACAGACAAGTAAAACATTAATGTCAACAGAAAATCAATAAGTTGCCATTAAAGCAGGAAAACTGCTGACTAACTCGGCCTATTTCAACAAGTTCTTTCTCTATAAGCTTCGATTTATTGTCATCTGATGAAGACGCGGGTTTGCTTTTCTCTTTCCGCAGCAGTGGCTCTATTTCATACCTATCGCCTTTCTCAGACCCAACCTTCGGGACTGCTTTCTCAACAGCAGCATCACCATTACTAAGCCGTGCTGTCGACAGATCAGGACTCTATAAAAAAACGTAAGCATCCTTGACCAGACCGGAAAATTTTGCTTGAAAAATGAACATAATAAATCTTTCAAACAATCAGGAAACTTTTTAGAAAGTTAAAGAGAAAGTTTAAATCTGGAAGGTTTCCGACGAAATTTAAACATTAGTAAAAGTTCATTCTGCTCATTGTACTGTTATATGTACAGTTAAAAGTTCCATAATGCATAGCAGACCTTAGCTATGCTTGAGGAAATATTCTTTGATTCTAAAGACTCCTGACTACTGTATGTTGCCTGACTAATGTGCCTCTCAAAGCGCCTTCTTCTAATAGGATCGAAGCGTTCCAAGTCTTTCAACACTTCGTTAACTTCCTCTTCTGGAAAAACATATCAGTAATCTAAAATTGTTTGCTTCTGAAGGATTTAAGCATGGTGACAATCACGCAGAGAAGCTGAAAAACCAAAATGTCAAACAGTCCAGACCAACATATAACTTGTAAGCTACTATTCTCAAAACAATAAATAACAAGCACTCAATTTGCTGTTTTATCTGCCCCTCACTGCATGTACCCCTACGGTTATAAGCTGGCCACAGACTTGTATTTTGCGTAGTACCTTCCTTAAAAAATAAACAATGGACTCGATTACTGTTTCAAAACAACCCCTATACAGTGCGCATACCCAAACTGATTGCTTAAAAACTCTTCTATGCTCAAGAAATTTCTTTATATTGGTGCTTTCATCGATTTTTCTAAACTGGAAACCTTGTTCTCCAAAACTAACAGAACGTCCTCGATTCTTCGCTTCTTCAACAAGATACTCTTCAAGAAACTCAGCAAATGCTCCTTCGCTGCTCATCAGTTCCTCATATTTCCCACACTCTGAGATGGTACCATCTGAAAAACCAACAATGGAGAAAGAGTTTGAAAAAAATACCAAAAAGAGAATTAAGAAAATAAAACCTTTCATTACTATAATCTGGTCGCAATATTTCAAATAATGAAGGGCATGAGTAACCAAAACTCTCGTTTTCTTCGCAAGTAAGCCAGTTTTTGACGCTAAAAATTCACCTCACAGAAAGCTTTTTTTATAAGCTAAAACAAGTTTTTATCAAGCAGCAGAAAAGAAATCCATGATTTCTTGAATTAATCAAAAGTCGCCAAGGCACCAAAAAAAGTAAATTAGTTCTATCAAAATAGCGAATTACGGTTTGAAAAATCTGGATGAAGAACTCTAAAAAAACCTATTCAACTTACAAATGATTTTTTCAAATATATGCTTCCCAACGTGGGCGTCCACAGCAGACAAAGGATCATCGAGCAAGACAATATCAGAACTAGCGTAAACTGCTCTTGCAAGACTAATCCGCTGTTTCTGACCACCGCTCAGATTGATCCCCTTAACTTCTAGCGTTAAATCAGAAGACAGTAGTATAAAATGAAATCTGTTGTACGCCTAAAAAACTATTACCTTCTCCCCAATTTCAGTTTGGTCGCCAGCAGGCAAAGCAGCAATATCAGCTTTCAGGGCACACGCTTCGATAATGCGCTTATAATTATCAGCATCGAAAGGCCTGTCAAAAATTATGTTGTCTTTTAAACTCATATTCTGAATCCAAGCTTGCTGAGAAACATAAGCGACAGAGCCAGATACGCAAACTTCTCCTTCAAGTTTATCCATTTCACCTAAATGAATAAGATAACCACACCTTCCAGAATGGCAGCTTCTGAAGTAAAAAAAGGAAGAACCATAACATAAACAGCAAAAGCGACCAACCCAACAAAGCTGAAAGTAAACTGCTTTTTCCGCAACCGACAGTTCCGACTACAGCTATCAACTGGCCCTTCTCCACGCTTAAATTGATGTTCTTTAACGTTAAGTCACGATTGTT